AAAATTAAAGGTAATTTGGATGATGCAGGGTGTCTTAATTACTCTTATTATACATCGATTAGAAATCCTTCCAGTTTGAGTAAGATGTCGCAATGAATAAATGACATCCATCCAAAATGCCACGGTTCTTTAGGGAGGATGAATTCCTTGTTATGGTCTAGAAAAAGTATTAATGCTGCTTTTTTAAACACAGCACCAAAATCAACATGAATCAGAGGAAAAAAAATAGATAGCTAAAAAAAAGATCAAGTGAAAGGAGTAACAGATTAATATAGAAACACTCAAACTGAAAAGCCTATGAGATTAAAAGTGAAAGGTGAAAACAAAGGCATTCGATCTTTGAAGTTCAGTGTTGTTTATTCAGCATCAGATAAAACCCAAAACCTAGAAACCCCACAAAAGATTCCATGCTTCTAAAAACTGACTCACATTAAGATTTACTTCCTGAAGAAATTGACTTAGCAAACCACACAAAAAGAACCAGAGACTAAATGTATGAAAGAAAAGCCCATGAAAATTCCGCCACATGTCGATGTACCTTAATTAATGCAAAACTCAGATACTACACACTCTTATACTTAGCATTATCATGATACGCTAACACAAATCAACTTTTTTCTTTTTTCTTTTTATAAGGGAAAAGAAAAGCGCTACTGCATGTCCAACTATTGACAATGGCTTTAGCCCACAAGCAAGATGACAGCAGTCCTAAAGAAGAGCACTTCTGGATAAGATCATATTAACAGCAGATAATCTACCTCAGAATATGTTCATAGGAAGCTAATGGTAGAGCAGACTCTGGGCTGGACTTGTGCGAGTGCATGCTTGTGCACGTCCATGCTTACGTGTGCATATGAGAAAGAGAGAGCAATGTAATGGAGTTAATGAAGTTACGTACACATGAGCATACAAAGAACGCATGTAAGAAGTCCCTTCTAGTGGGTTAAGTAGGAGCTCCCATCCCAATCAATATTTTATAAGAAATTTCATGGGTCACAGGGTGGTGGTCACTAGCAGTAGGGCAGTGATTGATGGGTAGTGAAGTGCCAACCATTCTACCGTTCAAGTGTCTAATCCAATGGTTCGAAAGAGAACTCCCAATAACCAGATACAAGGGACCTCCGGCAGCATCAGTTCCCTGCATACAGTGTGCATGGGTTTTCCTTTCAAGTCCAGTTCGAGATGATCAACAAAGAGCTCGCCTTTGTTTTTGTTTTTTTTGTTTTTTTTTTTTCTCAATAAGCAAATAGTCTGTTATAAAGCAAGAAACAAGAGACCGGAACAACATGTATAGCACGTACACAGAAAGGACTCATAACAAGGGGGGGAAACCATACACACTTGGATTAAAAACCATAGTTTTCATCCCCTGCTCACCCTTCACACATATTTTCCTTTTTCATACATGGACCTTTTTACAACTGCAGATAACGGGAAATAAAATGATTCAATTTAGTACTTAGTAGAGTGGCTATAGAGATCCAATTTGCATGGAAACATGAAAAATATACATCAATAAGAGATTAAAATGATCTATCAGAAAAACAAAAGGAGTTGTCATTGTTCAAAGAATTACAATTAAAGAAAATATACAGCAACAATTCAAGGACATACCAACACATAAATCGACCATGTTTCTTTCATGGGAAATATAAGAAAAAATCATAGTCCATAAAACAAGTGCCACTCAAAAACTGAATGTCACTGGAGTTTGGAACCTCACCTAAAATAAAATTGCCGCCAATTGGTTTTCTTTTTTTGGTAGGTCAACGGTGAGATTCAAACATGGGACATAATGTTGCGATCGTCCACACTGTAGGCATCAAGTCCATTTCCTACTTCCCTATATCAAATTTTGTTGCCATTGTGTCTTGAAAGGATGGCATCAGAAGCACTATTTAACAAATCAGAATCAAGCCCTGACTCGGCAGGAGTCTGATTCTAATTTTCCCGATGAGACTCGGATGATTCATGAACTGGATCAGGCTACAGATTTGCAAATAAATTAAAAAAGGAAAAAAAAAGTAGAGCAATCGAAGAAATCAGGCAATTCCAAGGATTTTCCATCAGGAATCATCCATCTCATGGTTCCAATCATACTCGACTGATTCCAAGTTGGACCGGTAATTTTTTAGTTGCTAAGCATCTTGGAAAAGCTTTTTTTGATAATCAACACTACCAATCTCCATCGCACTACGGTGCAATTTTATTATTGAAAAAGTTTATATAAGGTGTTAACCTAATACTATTGAACTAAGGTGCACCTCTAAAATACTCCCAAAGAGAGTGTTCTAACGGCCTTGAGAGATATGGATACAAAGAAAAAAAGAATTTCAAGTCTAAAAATAGTACATCTTGCAGCAAGTTATTTGGACCATCTATTTTCAAGATTTTCAAATATTTATATATCTGCTGAATTTGTACCATTTTTGAAATTTTAAATTTCAAAACTAGGGATGAAAATAGATTTTTAAGCCATCATAAGGTTTCTAACACCGGAACTGCATCTTCAAACAAAATTTAGAGGTGCGCCTTACTTCTAGAAAATAAGGAGAGCACCTCATATAAACCTCACCCTTTTATTATTCAAAAGTTCTAAAAAATAAGAAAGCACCTGTAGGACAGAAAAAGGCAGTCTACCAATAGAAACACTAGAATATGGTGATGAGATTTACTTAATATCCAAACATTCGAAACAGCAAGCTGCATATGAGCAATTGAAGTAAAGAACAGCAGTATATGATGCACTTCTTTTTTGTTAAGCCATATCATACACTATAGGACAAGATTCAATGAATTTCTCAGCTCCCTAATTCTGTGAAAACATTACATAAGGTCAATAATGCTTCATGATGCTATTATTACTATAAAACATGTGGTTCGTTATATTTGTGATAATATAGTAAATACAATATGATGTGACACATCAGCTTTTGCATTAAAGCACCAGTTCATTAACCTGCTGTATTTATAATTAGCTTTAGATTAAAGGATATAGTTTTACAAGTTTTACAGATTCAAGCCAGCCAATTTCTCAAGACCTAGACGGCATAACAAAAGAAGGAAGTACTTAATTGCAAGCAAAAGCTAAGAATAGCCCAAGTTGAGATAGCTAAACAGAACCTTCTTAATCTTACTTGAAGCATGACATCCACAGATAAATGCATACCATAGTGATCGAATAGCAGGTAGAGAATAAAATCCCTGTAGTAGCCAAACTTTGTGACTATACTCCCCTGCACACTTAGCAGTTCGTCATTCAATGCATTTAGAAAGGAATTTTTAAATTTCCTAGAAACATGACCAATTGATTAGTGGCACCTAGCAAAAGAACATCAAAATCTGAGCAATTCATATAAATAAGAATCCAAAAATAAAGGGAAATAAACCATTATACCAACTTCCAAAAGTGTCTGAAACCTGGCTTCCCTAAGACAGGGACATCATCTAGATGCATACCTTGAAACTCAAATAATCAATGTTTCAAGAATACAAATTCATCAAGTACGCCAGTGATGACGACTATAACACTTAATGGATTTTCAAGAAAAAGAACAATACGGTTAATTTTCAATCAATAGGTCCATATCCCCCCGGCTCCAAAAAAAA